CACACACACACACACACACACACACATGGACATGTAGATCCACTACCGTGATATGTGGCAGGAAGTCAAGTGTCATCAGAGGCCTTCGGCCTCTCTGCACAGTAAATAATCCAAAGACTACGCCTCAGGCCAAGCATTCACGTAATCATTTGGCGCTCCTGGGCGCCTCTGGACGCTCTCGGGCGTTCCCAGGCTGTGTTGCGTGACTTTGCCAGCGGCCTCGGGATCGTGGTGAGGAGCCCGAGCTCATAAGATGATTACAATGCTCCCATGACTAATCCTGAGGTTCTCTGCAAAGCCTCTTGAGCTGGCTTGGCGACCTCGGGACCGGCCCAACATGGTAAATTAAATGAACGCGTGGCGACTATCACTAGGACCGCCGAGTACAAAAGAACATGTTAAAATACCTGGGGCACTCCTTGAACGCGTCGCCACACAACATCGGACCACGACGACTTTTAACGAAAGTGGAAACAGCTGCACCATTGGCAAACCCCCAGGGAAGCGCGAGGTCTTGTCTGGATCCCTGGACCTCCCAGGAGCCCACGAACATAGCGACTGTTGCGCAGTTGGCAGCCCCCCCAGAGAAACGCGAGGTCTCGACACGAAGGTGGCGACAATTTCGCAATTCGAAGCCCGCCTAGGGACGGGGAGATCACATTCTGATCTGCGCGGGACACCACTCCGCAGGACCTCCGAGGGGCCAACAGAGTGGCTGCAGCTTCACAGTTCGCAGCACCCCTCAGGGACGGCGTGGTCACATTCTCATCTGCATGGGACGTCACTCCGCTGAACCTCCCAGGGGCCCATGAGAGTGGTGACTGTTTCGCAATTCGCAGCCTCATCAGGGACGTCGAGGTCCCATTCTGATCTGTGTGAGGTACCACTCCGCTGGACCTCCCAGGGGCCAATGAAAGGGGCGACAATTTCGCAGTTCGCAGCCCCACGAAAGTGGCGACAACTTCGCAAACGGCAGACACCCTAGCCGCGCGAGCAGGAGTAAAGAGAAAAGCGAGGAGGCAGCGGGGAGAAAGAGGAGGAGGAGGAGGAGGAGGAGGAGGAGGAGGAGGAGGAGGGAGGAGGGAGGAGAGGATGGAGACCACAGTGCTAGATTCAAAACTAGAACCCACAGCGGAGGGTTAGGAACAAAGCAGTTTACCATGATAGTGGTAAACATGTTGCAGAAGCCCTGGGAACGTGGCTGGGGGTCCGCACTGCCAACGTGCCCTCAGACGGTCCCGGGAGACCGTCCTCCCTCTGGGCCGTCGTGAAGCCTCGAAGACCGAACCAGGAGGCAAAAATCGTTGAGACGTGTGCAGCTGCTGATTGGTGCTGCTCTGCAGATCCCACGTGAGGCCCCTCCTCAACACAGCAAGAGAAAGGCTCTCGAGGGCCCACGGCCAGGCCCGATGGGCACCCGAGAACGACCGCCGAGGTGCACAGCGCCGGCTCTCAGACCCGCGGACGGCCGAGGTGGCCGCCCAATAGGGTCTCCAAGACGGCCACGGTGGCCCTGCAGGACATCAAGCGGTCAAGGTTGACTACCTACCAGACAACCCCAACCCAACCCGAAGACCCGAATGTGACCCGAATTTCGGGTTGGGGGGGTACGGATCCCACGCGTTTTTTCAGCGTTCCCCGACCCCCCCCCCCCACCGGAAATGGAGGGCAAATCGAGGGTTTCGGGTTGGGTTGGGGTGGTTTGGTGGGTGGTGAAAGGTGGCCCGAAATGACGATGGCGGAAAGGATGGTTAACAGCAGGACGCGCAGGACAGAACATCATGACGACGACGGAAATTGTGGCTTTCAAGACGGCCAAGATAGCCCGAGGACGGCCCAACGTGACCCCGGGACAGCCCAAGAGGCCTCCGAGAAAACCCGAGATGGCCTCAAGACGGCCCAAGAGGCCCCCCAGACGCCTCAAGAGGGCTGCAAGAGGACCTCCAGGCGGCCCCCAGGAAGAAAAATCATCGATGTGCCTTTCGGGTTGAATTGTTCTCGCGTTCTTGTCTGTTCCATCTTCCGAAAGCCCAAAACAGCCAAAGAGGTCCCCAAGACCGCCCAAAGAAGGCCACAGAGGCCCACAAGAGGACCCCAAGACGGCCGAAGATGGCCCCAAAACGATCCCAAGACGGCCCAAGAGGGCTCCAAGACGGTCCAAATTGACCCCCCAAGCACCCTGAGACGGCCCAAGAGAGCCCTAAGGTAGCCCAAGCGTCCCCCAAGAGGCCTCCAAGAAGCCCAAATGTCCCGACAACAAAAACCCAAGAGAGACCCACGATGACCAGAGAGCCCCTCCTCGGTACTCCTTCGGTAGTTTCCCCAAGCGCTGGGGGAACACGCGGCACACAAACGCGGCCGCACCTTCGTTCGATATTTCACAACACGGGCGCTTCCAGAAGGCAGGGGGCGGCGGTGATTAGCCGGGGGCGCTCTCGATAACTGTGAACACAAATGCACAAGCAAGACGGGCGCACGTGTACATGCCCACAAGTTCGCGTCTGCGCATGCCTGCTCACAGAAGACGCATACACCCACATCATCACGAAGTTCCTCCTGCTCACCCGCCACGCCGCTTGCACCGACAGCCTCGCTTCCGCCGTCCCCCTCCATCGCCGCCCCGCGGACTCCTTGCTATCGATGATTTGCCGGATGCCTCTGAAGATCCTGCTGATGTCTCTGGTGAGGACCGGCAGCAGGATGAAGGATGGCTTGTGCTCCCTGGCGGCGCACGAGGACTAGCAGGAGGAGCTGGGAGGCACTGAACCCAGAACTTCTTTAGTGAAGGGGCCCTGGGACACACAAATAAATACACACAAATAAGAATATTCCCCATATTTTCCCATATTTTCTGGGTTTTTGTCTCCCCCCACACTTCCCATATTTTCCCATATTTTCTGGGGAATCGCCGATTAATTGTGTCTGTGTTTCTTTCCCTCTTGATTCAGAGGCTCCCAGGGGCCGACGCGGGGGGAACCAGAAGACGCCGATGCCGCGACTCCCCAGACCTCGCCCGGGGGCGCGTTCTGGCCAGGATCTCGGGGCGAATCCAGCCGTGGCGACGCGGGCCTCCCCGAAGAGGCCCCAAAGAGGCGAGAAAGGAGCGATGGTTCGGCACCTTTTGCTCCATTGGGGAATCGAAGGTCAACGCCCAGATTGACAACAACAACAACAACAACAACAACAACAACAACAACAACAACAACAACAACAACAACAACAACAACAACAACACCAACAACAACAACAACAACAACAACAACAACAACAACAACAACAACAACCACAACAACAACAACAACAACAACAACAACAACAACAACAACAACAACAACAACAACAACAACAACAACAACAACAACAACAACAACAAAATCTTGGAGATCTGGGTCCTCAGCCCCTGCACGGTAGAGGGGCTTGTCGTGACCCCCCCCCCGGGAGGAGCACCCCTCCCTGGGAGAAGCTTTCGGCTCTAGAGCGCCATCGCCGCCGTCGTCGTCGGCGGCGGCGTCATAATCGACATTGTCGTCGGCGTGGTCATAACCGTCGTTGTCGTCGGCGCGGTCCGAATCGTCGTCGTCGTCGTTGTCGTCGTCGGCGTGGTCATAATCGTCGTCGTCGTCGTCGTCGTCGTCGGCACCTGATGGGGTCGGCGGCACCGACCGTCGGGCCTTCGCAGTCCTCAGCCCCTACCCGACGGGGGAGGCCCGCCTGGCGCCCGCGAGGGGAGCGACCCCGCCCGTGCCGCGGGGAGGGACCCCGCTGTGGATTGGCGGCGCGCACCGGGGGGTGAAGGGGGGGGGGAGGGCTTCTTAGAAGGAGGCTGCTTCTTAGAAGGCGCCGGCCCTACATCTATAGATGAGGCCCGCGCCTTCTAAGAAACAGGGGTGCTTCTAAGAAGCCCTCCCCCCTCCCCCCACCCCCCTCTGCGATGGCTGGGTGGACCCGCCTCCCGAGGGTCGCGCCGGCGGCAGGTCAGCGGCGCGGCGTCGGACCCGTCGGTGGCAACTCCACGAGAGCTTTCCATGCCATCGCGTCGGCTCTTGCGTGTCGGCGCAGATCGACGCCAGTCGAGGCTGATCGGCGCTGGATCAACGCTCATCTACGCTAGCCGGGGCTGAGTCGGCGCTACCTCCTCGACTCCCAGACGCTGATCGACGCTAGTCGACGCTAAAGACGGAATTCTGAGGGTACACCGGGATCCCATGATTTGCTACCGAAGGACCCTAGGCGGGCATTGAAAGAGGTTTCCACTGGGGTCTCGGCCGAACCCGCCGGCCAACCAAGAGCCCGGCGAACCCGGTGGGTAAAGCCTAAATCGCCTCCGAGGCGGCCAAAATGGGCCAAGATGGGCGAGAAGAAACAGGCCTTCCGCGAGATGGCACATCGACCTGACGCTGTGGCTTACGCGGGCCGCCAGCGCGGCACGCCAGATTCGAAACGAGTGCGTTGACGCGCAACCTTACGCTGGATACTTACGTGCCAATGTCCGCGCAGTCGAACCCGTTTGTCTGCGTCGGTCAGATGGGCCAGCGAGCACAAGCGGGTACTGGGAGGAGGAGGAGGAGGAGGAGGAGGAGGAGGAGGAGGAAGAGGAGGAGGAGGAGGAGGAGCAGTGTAGGCCCAAGATTCAGAATTAACCATGCTGCAGTGCACCCTCCTCGTCGCAGGTCTCGTCCCTGAAAGCTCCTAAAAGTATCCCATTCTACCTCAGGAAGCCCCCCCCGTTGACCGACGGACGCCCGCGGGCCTGGCAGTCGGGCGAGATCCCGTTCGTTAATGCACCCACATTCGAGCCTTCCAGCCTCCAGGGAAACAAACCGATGTGGTCATAAAGCTCACAGAGGAGTCCAACGATACATCCGTCTTGGGCATACAACCAGGCGCTCCACTCTACAAAGGAGCCGCCCTCCACCCGTGTAGCCGTTCCACACATTTGGCACCAGCTTGAACTTCGGGCCATCAAGTTCGATGACGTCTCGAATGGAAGGCCTATGTTGAAACCCACCCGCCCTGCATCGCTGTAACAGCTGCGAATAGTGAAATAAAATGCGCGCGGTGCTATAGCGAGACAAACTGAAAAACGGCCCGATCTACATAAGTGCAACGATCGCAAACTTTTGAAATACAGCGAAGGGCCCTTTTTGAAAACGCACACCCCACCCCATCCCGCGTCCATGTTGCAACCGCCCGAAACGTTTAAGACGAGCGCGCATTGCCCCAAAGGCAGAGCCCCATGTTGAAAACGGCCTGTGCTGCCTCCGTGCATCTGTTGGAAATGTCAGGCATGAAGATGCAGAGGGGGAGACAAGCGAAGAACCCAGCCCGCGCTAGCGACACGCCTGGTAGTGCGACGGGGAGGGGGCGACCTTACATGAAGAGGGACGCAGCGTTCCCCAGGCACCCCCCCCCCCAACGGCTGCATTGGAAGGATCGGGGCGGGGCGGCGAGAGGCAGGCGGGCGGCCGCCTGAGCAGTCTCTTGAAGACCTCCTGGTGCTCCACTCGCCGTTCCTCCTGGTTGGAGGGGGAGGGCCCTCCGTCGGAGCCAGGGAGCGCGGCGGGACGGAACAGGACAGGTCAGGACAGGATGGGACAGGGGGTGACAAGGAGCGGCGGACAGTCCTCCTCCTCCTCCTCCTCCTCCTCTCCTCCTCCTCCTCCTCCTACTCCTCCTCCTCCTCCTCCTCCTCCTCCTCCTCACCATCAGCATCATCATTATCATGATCATGAGCATGATCATGAAAATCATCATCATCATCATCATCATCATCATCATCATCATCATCATCATCATCATCATCGTCATCATCATCAGCATCCTCATCATCACCACCACCATCACCATCACCATCATCAGCATCATCAGAATCATCAGCATCATCGTCATCGTCGTCATCATCATCAGCATCGGCGTCAGCACCAGCATCAGCATCATCATCATCATCATCAGCATCACCATCATCAGCAACAACCCCACTATCACAACCACATCCACCACCACGGTCATCCGCATCATCATCATAATCAGCATCATCAGAATCAGCAGCATGATCAGCATCATCACCGTCATCATCAACAACAGCAGCATCAACATTAGCATCAACATCAGCATCAGCATCAGCGGCATCAGCATCAGCATCAGCATCAGCAGCATCAGTATCAGCATCAGCAGTATCAGTATCAGCATCAGCACCAGCATCGTCATCATCATCATCATCATCATCAGCATCATCATCAGCATTACCAGCATCAGAATCGTCATCACCGTCTCACCATCATCGTCATCACCGTCATCAGCATCGCCATTAGCACCATCGTCACCATCATCATCATCATCAGCAGCAGCATCATCATCATCTTCAGCAGCATCATCATCACCATCAGCAGCATTAGCATCGTCATCGTCAGAATCGTCAGCACCATCACCACCACCACCACCACCGCCATCACCACAACTACTGTCAGCATCAGCATCATCATCATGGTCATCAGCATCAACACCACCACAACACCTAGTAGCAGCATCATCATCGTAATCAGCATCAGCACCACCATCATCAGCAGCATCATCGTCGGCATCAGCATCAGCATCGTCCTAATCAGCAGCATCATCATCGTCATAATCGCCACCATCATCACCATCATCATAAGCAGCAGCATCAGCAGCAGCATCTCAGTCATAATCATCATAATCAACCTCATCATCATCAGCAGCATCATCACATCCTCTTCTTCATCATCATCATCATCATCATCATCATCATCATCATCATCATCAGCATGATCATCATCATCATCACCATTATCATCATCAGCATCAACATCCTCATCATCATCCTCATCATGATCATCATCATCATCATCGTCATCAGCATCAGCGGCATCATCATCATAATCAGCATCATCAGCATAATCATCACCAACACCACCACCATCATAATCAGCATCATCAGCAGCAACATGTGTTTCATCATCATCATCATCACCATCATCAACATCATCATCAGCACCATCTTCATCTTCATCTTCAACATCCGAATCACCCCCGCCATCAATACCAGAATCATCCTGAGCACTGTCGTCCACAGTGTATGCATCGCCACCATCATCGCCATCACACTCGCATCACCACCATAACCACAATCGACAATGCATTCGTGCTCAGAGCCTTCATCCCTCATCAACCGTCTTCGTCGCCAAACTCACCACCACCACCACCGTCATCATCAACGTTTGAATCACCATAACCACTGTCAACACCATCATCGCCGTCACCATCACGTTCATCACTATCACATACACCATCATCACCACCATCATCATACGCATCTGCCGCCCTTCGTCTGGCCCTCTCCATCCGCTTCCTGGTTGGCTTGTTTGTCGTTTTTGTCGTGTTTGTTTTTTCGTCGGCCAGGCCCCCACTCCCCGTCCCTCTGAGCCGACACAAAGGAATTCGATGTGAAGGCCTCACAATAGGGATCAACTTGTAGATCCGCCACAAAGGGAATCCTTTTGTAATCCGCGAGACAAAGAACCAATTTATAATCCGCCACACTGGGAATCAGATAGTAATCCGCCACAGAAGGAGTCAGTGTGCAATCCGCACGAAAGGAACCAAATTGTAATCCGCAAAAACTTACCCGGGAATCCCCAAAACCCTTCCGCGAGCCTTGTTCCAGGGCACGGGGACACAGCATGTTTGGTCCCCCAGGTTGGCGTTGTGGCTGTTTTTGTCTTTGTCGTTTTTTTCGTCGGCCAGGCCCTCACTCCCCGTCCCTCTGAGCCGACACAAAGGAATTCGATTTGAAGGCCCCACAATACGAATCAATACGAAAATGCGCAAACGTTGTAAAAACATAGGATTTCTTTGCTTCCAAGTTGGCTGTTGGGGTTGTTTGTTTCTATTGAAAACCACATTACAATTAGAACCACAACGTTGCTGGTCCCCCTGGTTGGTTGTTTTGTCTTGTTTGTCTTTTTCGTCGGCCAGGCCCCCACTCCCCGTCCCTCTGAGCCGACACGAAGGAATTCGATGTGAAGGCCTCACAATAGGGATCAAGTTGAAATCCGCCACAAAGGGAATCAGTTTGTAATCCGCGAGACAAAGAACCAAGTTGTAATCCGCCACACTGGGAATCAATGTGTAACCCACCACAAAAAGGAATCAATGTGCAATCCGCCACAAAGATAATCAAATTGCAATCCGCAAAAACGTATCTGGGAATCCCCAACACCTTTCCGCGAGCCGTGTTCCAGGGCACGGAGATAAAACCCTTACACCCCCCCCCGCCTCCCCCCCCCGCGCAGAAAAGAGCGCGGGGACAGCCGCGAGGCAGCTGCGGGACAGCGGCGCGGCCGTGATGCCGAGGCGAGGGAAGGGAAGGGACGGCCGCAGCACCGCGGTCGAGAAGCGGCTGCACAGCGGTAGCACTGCCGCAGCACAGCGACAGGGTCGCATCGGGACCAGACGCGGCTCAAGGGGGGGTTGGAAGCACGAACCCCTTAGACCACTCACGCCCGACAGCGCTGGTGGGGTTTCGGCGCGAAGCGTCTAGAAAGCGAGCTCACGCGCGCACTCGTGCATTCATCCGCGCGCTCGCGCGTGCTCGCGTTCAGTTGCGCGCGCTTGCTCGCGCGCGCAAGCGTGCATTCCTGCCCGCCAATCACTGGTCACATGTGTCTCGATTCCTTGACCTACCAACGCGTGCTTTCGCCGGTGCTTGCAAGAGCCCCCGTGCCCGGCAATTTCTATACATTCTCAACCAACAGGGATTGCGTGCATTTCCACGTGCCCATGCCGTTTCGCATCGTGTTCTGCATGCTTGCACTTGCGTGCCATGGTTTGCCGTCTGAGCGCTGTCTCGCCGTTTGCCCTCCACGATGACTTCCCACCTGGTGTCCGCCAGGTCCATGCCCGTGCCATTCCCTGCCACTAAAGTGCATCCAAATGGTATCCTCTTTGGGGAGGGGGTTCCCCCCTTCCCCTCGGGTCTGGAGCCGCCCCCTCGCGATGGGTTAGAACGTCCAAGATAGCCCAACACGGTCCCAAGACTGCCCCAGATAACTCAATATGGCTTCCAGGATCGCTGCAGATAGCCCACAGTGGTTTTAGATAGCTCCCAGCATGCCTCAAAAACGCTTCAAGACCGCCCCGAAGCAGCTCCAAGCAGCCACGGCGCCTCCCAAGGAGGCCCCCCAAAAGTCAAAACCGTATACAAATCGCGTGTAAAACATGTTTGCGTTGTTTTCGTCTTTGTTTGCGCCCGATGGGCTCGCCAGGGCTACAGAGGGCTCACACATGGCCCGCGCGTTCCCCACGGGGGCCCCAAAAAGACCCCGAAACGGCCCCACGAGAGCCCAATCGCGCCCCGAGGGCGTCCCAATACGGCCCCAAGAGGCGACGTTGAAGGCCCCGGCAGGGGGGGGGGCAAGTTAAGACCCCCCCTTTGTGGATCGACGGCCTCCAAGATTACGGGGCGTGAAAACGACCACAGCCACTGCTTTTCTTTTTGTTGCCGCCTTCCAGCCCGCAGAAACAAAGCAGTGGTTGTGGTCATGTTCGTTGAGCTTGGCACCAGGGAAATTGACCACAACCACTGCTTCTTTTTCGGCCGGCTGGAAGGCGGCGCAAACAAGAAGCAGTGGCTGTGGTCATTTTCCCGTCCCGCAAAGATGGCCCCAAGACCCAGCAGGGCACCCAGAGCCTCCACGAGGGACCCAAGAGGGCCCCAAGAGGGCCGCAAGAGAGCCCCATAGAGGGCCCAAAGGCCCCCCAAGCTGGCGCCGAGAGGGCCCCACGGTGGCCCCTAAGAGGCCTTCGAGGCGCTCTCCGAGCGAAAAATCTGCAAAAGCTGACGATGGTTGACTAGTGTGGCCGCCGCCGTCGCCATCGCCGTACGATGACGCGAACAGTGTCCTCCTTTGCCACTGCAGCTATAGTGACGATACCGATGGTCTGAAACAACACGAACTGCTGCGCGCTGTTTCGAATGACGACCAAAAGGACATCCTCAGGAAGCCCGAGAAAACGCCACGACTGCGCGAGACAGCAGCAAGACAGTTAGGGACAGCCGCGGTACAGCCGAAGCAAAGCGGGCCGTTGGGCGGCAAAGCCGCGGGACAGCCACAGAACAAACGCGGGACAGCCGCGGAACAGCCGCGGAGCAGCCGCGGGACAGCCACGGGACAGCCGAAGCCAAGCCGAGGCAAAACGCGGTCGAATTGCGTGGAAGCACAGGAATCGCCCTCAACGAAGTTGCCTGGCATGGAGGATCGCACATGGCTCGCGAGAAGGAACCAGAGAAGGAGCGAGAATGGAGGAGAAGAGAAGAGGAGAGAAGAGGAAGGGGGAGGAGGTACGAAGAAGGAGGGACGAGGGAGGTGGGAGAAGGAAAAGGAGCCCTGGATGGGGCCCAAAACAACCCAAAAAGCCAACCGAAGTGGCCAGCGAGGACCATACGGCTCCGAAACACACCTGCAACCTGCAAAACGAACGGACCGTTCGAGACATCTGGGCGCGAACGGGCCTGTGACACACCCTCCGTCGGCAGAGCACCTGCCCGCATCACCAGGCACGATCGAGCTGCGTCCAGCCCTGGCGACGATAAGTGTCCCGAGAGCAGTCTGACTGTCTGACAGCAGTACGAGCATTATCCTTCCTCCCTCTCGTCCTCAGTAATCCTGCTACTCCTCCTCCCCCTCCTCCTTCGCTTCGCACACTTCAACGATTGCCCGGAATTGCGGGGATGTCTCATGCGAAACTGGCTGGACCCCCCCACCTCGCACGCGGCATCTCGTTGCCTACAATTGCGGGAACGTCTCAAGCGAGACAACAGACAGGATCACCTCATGGGCGGCACCTTACGACACGGACGAGGCAACCTTCACGGCAACCCCGGGCCCACAACTTGTAAGGATGTTTCAAGCGATATGTGCCAGGCCACCTCTCGCGTAGCGTCTGGAAGCCCAGCGTTTCGAAGATGTCTCAAGCGAAACGGGCCAGACCATGTCAAGTCTGGTCGTCTGGGAACGCAGACTTGTGAGCATGTCTCATGTGAAACGGGTCGAACCACCACGGCATGTTGCCAATGTCTCGACGCGCTCGTTCTTGCTGCCACAATGCCCCCCAGTACCAGCTGGACGACCCAACCCGTTGAACGGAAACAAGCGAGAAGTTCCCAGATGCGTTGAGGGGACACTTTCTGGCCCCCCCGTCGATTCTTCAGACCTGGACCCGAGGCCACGAATCTTCAGAAATAATTTGAAATGCGCGCTCCCCCCTCGAAGATTGCAACAGTGGGCCAATCGGGCCAATCAGCCGGGCTGCCAGGCTTGGGGAGCGCGCATCCAGGAGCCAGGCTTGGACAGTGGGCCAAATCAGCGGGGCTGCCAGCCTGCGAACCGACAAGTAGAAAGACGAACCAACCGAACAAGCGCAGCCATGCAAGCAGTTCTGCGGTGGACAAACCTCCCTTTAGTAAACCACCCCTCTAGTGAAAACGGCCTAGGGCCGAAACCGACGGACCTGGACCCGCAAAAGTGACGGCCGCGACGCCCCCTCGCGAACCGAAAGCGGCCAATTCGCCACTCGACTTGTCAGGGTAGGAGGTCTATGCAAAGCGGGGATTTACCCATATCCACCGCCTGGGAACCGACGTCCTGGTGCCCCAGCGGGCGGTGGACATGCACATAGTTCGGCCCCCGGGGGCCCGAATATGTCCGTGCCCACCGCCTGCCGAGGCTCCGAAAACTGACCCTCCAGGCGGTGGTCATGCAGGAATTCCCGCCTCGGAGGTCTGGCAACCTCCGAGCAATCAGGGCGGGCGCCGGCGGCAGAGGGCGAAGCCAGCCCGATGACAACTCCGCCCCCCTCGGGGGCGCCCGCCCTGGGGCGGCCGAGGAAGCGATACCCCGACCTGCCACCGGTCAGGGATCTTCTGACCCGGGTCCATCCAAGCGCCTCCTCCTCCTCCTCCTCCTCCTCCTCCTCCTCCTCCTCCTCCTCCCTCCTCCTCCTCCTCCTCCTCCTCCTCCTCTCCTCCTCCTCCCCTCCTCCTCCTCCTCCTCCTCCTCCTCCTCCTCCTCCTCCTCCTCCTCCTCCTCCTCCTCCTCCTCCTCCTCCTCCTCCTCCTCCTCCTCCTCCTCTGGGTCAATCCAAAGTTGGGTCAATCAGGCCCCGCAGACTCCTGCACGATCCTGCAAGCTCCTGCGCCAACAACCAGGGCCACCGCGAAGGCTCCTGCAGGATCCCGCTGGATCCTGCACCCAAGCCCGGGCCGGGGCGACCCTGGCCCTGCAGGAGCCTGCGCAAGATCGGGCGCTCTGGCTGACCCCCATATGCCTTGACCCCCGCCCCAGGGCTCCCGACACCGCAGGGGCACAGCATCTCCGGCGCCGCCCTGGGCCGGGGGTCCACGGCGGCGGAGAGAAGCCGCGCACGGCCGCCCGCGGGGGCCGCGGCGGCGCGGTCCTGCAGGCGCTTGTGCCCCCTCAAGAAGCCCAGCTTCTCGGGCGGCAGCTGCGGGCGGGAAGGCCGCCCGCACGGCGGGGCAGGACGGGGCACGACGGCCCGCACCGCGCCGCGGCGCGCTCCACGGCGGAGCGCTCCGCGGCAGCTCACGGGAGCCTCCCTCTGTGTTTGTTGCCGGCGCTTGCGGCCCCTGCGCGTCGGCGCCGTGCCCTCGAGGCACGAGCTGGAGTGCCCTCGGGCCCTCTGCCCTGTCCCCTGGGGCCTCAAGCCTCGAATCCCTGGGGATTCCTTCCGGGGCCTGGGCCCAGAGCTGCCAAACACCTCCCAGGGCGCGCCGCGTGGCCGGTGGGTTCCAGGGCGCGGCGTCGCGTGATCACTTCGGGCCCCGAGAGGGCCCCAAGGCGGGCCAAGAGACGTTCCCGAGAGGCCCCCAGGACGGTCTCAAGAGGGCCCCGAGTCGCCGAGAGAGCGCTCCCAGACGGTCCCAAGACGGTCTCAAGACTGGCCCCGAGATGCCCCCGAAGACGCCCCCAGAGGCCTCCAAGAAGCCTTCCAGGAGGCCCCTGGGGGCAAAAAATCGTCGATTCTGCGTCGGTGTTGGAAGGATTGGCTCTCTCGCCCTTTCGGCTTCCCGACGCTCGGCCGAGGCCGCCAGGAGGGCCCCCAAAGGGCCCAAGAGGGCCCCAAGACGGCCCCAAGAGGCCTCCATGGGGGACCCGCACGAACATCTCACACCGTCGGCCCCAAGAGACCCTCCCCCCATTCCTTCCCTCTCCCTTCTCTTCCCTCCCTGCCCCTCCCTTCCCTCTCTCTCCCCTCTCCCTCCCTCCCTCCTCGCTCCCTCCCTCCTCGCTCCCTCCCTCCCTCCTTCTCTCTCTCTCTCTCTCTCGCTCTCTCTCTCTCTCTCTCTCTCTCTCTCTCTCCTGTGCCCAAGAGGCCCCCGAGAGCGCTCCGAGGAGACACAAAGAAGTACGCACGAGGACTCTGACCCACAATCCAGGCACGGTGGCGGGATGGGCCGATGGCCGTTGGACCTGGGCAGGCACGGGAACGGAAAGAGCGCTGCAGGAAATGGCCCGAGAGGGCTCATGGCACCCTTCGCCCTGGGGAGCCGTGGCGCTCAGAGCTTGTTGCGTCACCGCTCTCTGTTGGGAGCCCTGGTGTTCAGAGACTTTTACGTTGCCGCTCGCTCTTGAGAGCCTTGCGGTTCAGAGCTCTTTACGCCACCGCGCTCTGGGGAACCTTGGTGGTCAGAGCTTGTTACGACACCGCTCGCTGTGGGGAGCCATGGTGTTCCTTGGCGTCTCTGGGGCTTCTTGGGAATCTTCTGGGGGCCCTTTTGGACCGTTTTGGGACTCTTGGGCCGTCTTGGGGCCAGCCCAGTCCCCATACCCAAGCAGCCCAGACCTCACGCCGCCTCTTCGGGCCCCCTTGGGAGTCTCTTGGAAGCCTCTTGGGGCCCTCTTGGGGCTCTCTTGGGGCCGTCTTGGGGCCCTCTTGGGCTGTTGTGGGGCCCTCTTGGGCCGTCTGGACGCCCTCTTGGACCGTTTTCGGCCCGGGCTTCGCCCCACACAGGAACGTCATCACTCGTACCTCGCTCTTTCCGTCACCTGGGCTGGGACGGGAACGGAAAGAGCGCTGCAGGAACTGGCCCGAGATGGCTCTGGGGAGCTGTGGCGTTCAGAGCTTGTTGCGTCATCGCTCTCTATTAGGAGCCCTGGTGTTCAGAGATTTTTACGTTGCCGCTCGCTCTTGGGAGCCTTGCTGTTAAGAGCATGTTACGTCACCGCGCTCTGGGGAGCCTTGGTGTTCAGAGCTTGTTACGTCACCACCGCTCGCTGTGGGGAGCCATGGTGTTCTTTGCCGTCTTTGGAGCTTCCTGGGAGTCTTTTGGGGGCCCTTTGGGACCGTTTTGGGACTCTTGGGCCGTCTTGGGGTCAGTCCCCACAGCCCAGTCCCCATATCGCCTCTTCGGGCCCCCTTGGGAGCCTCTTGGGGTCTTGGCGCTTTCGAGGGGCAATCTTGGGGCCCTCTTCTTGGGCCGTCTTGGGGTCCTCGTGGGCTGTCTGGGCGGCCCTCTTGGACCATTCTCGGGCTGAAAAGGCGAGAACCCCAAAAACCATGAAAAACCTCAGGTAACACAATGTTTGGCCTCCTGAGGCCCTCTCGGGGACCCTCTTGAAGGCCGTTTTGGGACTCTTGGGCCGTCTTGGGCCAGCCCAGTCCCCACACCCAAGCAGTCCAGTCCCTACACCGCCTCGTCGGGTCCTCGTGGGAGCCTCTGGGGGGACCTCTTGGGGCTCTCTTGGGGTTCTCTTGGGACCGTCTTGGGGCCCTCTTGGGCTGTTTGGGGGGCCTCTTGGGCCGTCTGGGGGCCCTCGTGGATTGTTTTCGGCCCTTGTGGGGGCCTCTGGGGCCTCGTGGGCCGTGTTGGGCCCTTCTGGGCCCGAAAAGATGAGAACCCGAAAAACCTTGAAAAATCGCATGGAAATCAATATGTTTGGCCTCCTGCGGCCCTCTCGGGAGCCCTCTTGAGGGCCTCTGAAGACGTCTCGAGGTTCGCTTGGACCGTGTGGAGGCCAGCTGAAGCTATTTCGGGGCTATCATTGGGCCGTTTTGGGGCATCTTGGGTTGTCTTGCCGTTTCACTCGAACGAATACGAGGAGACAGGCAGTGGCAGCCGCCCGGGCGCCGCTTCACTCCAAAAAAATACCAGGGACACGGCCCCCGGGCGGCCACGACAGCCCATCCCCGCGCGCATCGCCCCTCCCCCGGACCCCTCCCTGGAGGGCTTCGCCCCAACTCAGCGTACCATCGCTCGTACCTCGCTCCTTCCGCCACCTGGGCCGGCACGGGAACGGAAAGAGCGCTGCAGGACCTTGCCCAAGATGGCGCATGGCACCGTTCGCTCTTGGGAGAGCCTTGGCGTTCAGAGCTTGTTGCGTCACCGCTCTCTGTTGGAAGCCTTGGTGCTCACAAAATTTACGTTGCCGCTCGCCCTTGGGTGCCTTGCTGTTAAGAACATTTTACGTCACCGCGCTCTGGGGAGCCTTGGTGTTCAGAGCTTGTTACGTCACCACCGCTCGCCGTGGGGAGCCATGGTGTTCCTTGGCGTCTCTGGGGCTTCTTAGGCGTCTGTTGGGAGCCCTTTTGGGCCGTTCTGGGACTCTTGGGCCGTCTGGGGTTCAGCCCAGTCTCCACAACCAAGCAGCCCAGTCCCTACACCGCCTCGTCGGGTCCTCTTGGGAGCCTCTGGGGGGCCCTCTTGGGGCTCTCTTGGGGCTCTCTTGAGGCCCTCTTGGGGCCCTCTTGGGGCCATCTTGGGCCCCCTCGTGGGCCCTCTGGGCGCTCTCTTGGACCGTTTTCGGCTCCTTTGGGGGGCCTCTAGGGCCGTCTTGGGACAATATTTGGGCCGTCTGAGGCCTGTCTGGGAGCCCTCTTGGACCGTTTGCGGCCCATTTCGGGTGCCCCTGGGGCCGTCTTGGGACCATCTTTGGGGTCTCGTGGGCCGTATGGGACCCTTTGGACCCGAACAGAGGAGAACCCGAAAAACCTTCAAAAACCGCAGGAGATCCCAATGTGTTGGGCCTCCTTAGGCCCTCTCGGGGGCCCTCTTGAGGACCTCTGGAGCAGTCTCGAGGCTCTCTTGGACCGTCTGGAGGCCACCTGAAGCTCTCTTGGGGCCGTCTTGGGGCCCTCTGGAGCCGTTTTGGTGCCTTCTTGGGCCGCCTTGGGGCCCTTGAGCCGCTTCACTCGAAAAAATACAAGGAAACCGGCCACGGCAGCCGCCCGGGAGCCGCTTCACTCTCAAAAATACGGAGGAAGCGGCCCCCGGGCGGCCATTACAACCATGCTCGTCCCCCCTGGACCCTCCCTTGGACCCCTCCCTAGAGGGCTTCGCCCCAACTCAACGTACATCGCTCGTACCTCGCTCTTTCCGTCATCCGCCGCCCCATTGTTGATTTATGACAGGTGCACAGCGTGCTAAACGTCTGGTGGTTGTTGGTTCTTTTGAAGGCTCTCCCTGGGGCTTCGGCCCAGTGCGCTGGCCACCCGGAAAGCTGCTTCAGACCTGGTTGCCAAGGTTTCTCCTGCTCCAGATGGCTCCAAGATGGCCCAAGATGGCCTCCAAGACGGCCAAGATGGCCTCCAACTTCGCCCAAGATGGTCCAAGATGGCCTCCAAGACGGCCCAAGAGAGTCCAAGATGCCTCCAAGTTCGCCCAAGAGGTCCTCCAGGAGGACCCGAAGAGGCCAAAATCATTGATTTCCCTTAGGTGTTTGAAATATTTTGGCATGTGCCTTCCGACAGCCCAAAACGGCCCAAGACGCCCCCAAGGTCGCCCCCAGAGCGCCCGAGAGGCCTCCAAGATGGCCTCATAACGGCCCAAGTGGCCATCAAGACGGCCCCAAGAGGGCCCCAAGGCAGCCCGAGAGGCCTCCAAGACGCCCAAGATGGCCTCCAAGACGGCCCTGGAGGCACTGAGAAGGCCCAAACACGGCCCAGAGAGGCCCCCAAGACCGCTTCTGACTGCATCAGACGTGCCAGGAACGCCCAACGACGGCCGATGGGGCACCCAAGAAGCTCCCAAATGCCCCCCAAGAGGCCCAAGGAGGCCTCCAAGGGGCCTCCAAGAGGCCCCCAGGAAGCTCCCAGGAGACCACAAGAATGCCCCCGTAGGCTCCCAAGCGCCTCCTCCTCCTCCTCCTCCTCCTCCTCCTCCTCCTCCTACTCCTCCTCCTCCTCCTCCTCCTCCCCCTCCTCCTCCTCCTCCTCCTCCTCATCATCATCATCATCATCAGCAGCAGCAGCATCAGCATCAACATCATCAACAGCATCATCATCATCATCACCCTCCTCCTCCTCCTCCTTGTGTCCTCCCGCTCCTCTTCTGATCAGTATTATTCGTATGACTCTTCTCATGCTCATCAGAAACCATTAGTTGCTACTCTTGTTAGTATGCTTCGTAGTAGTAGCAGCAGTAGCAGTAGCAGTAGCAGTAGTAGTAGTAGTAGTAGTAGTAGTAGCAGTAGCAGTAGTAGTAGTAGTAGTAGTAGTAGTAGTAGCAGTAGTAGCAGTAGTGGTATTTAGTAATAGTAGTAGTAGTAGCAGTAGCAGTAGCAGTAGCAGTAGCAGTAGCAGTAGCAGTAGCAGTAGCAGTAGCAGTAGCAGTAGCAGTAGCAGTAGCAGTAGTAGTAGCAGTAGCAGTAGCAGTAGCAGTAGTAGAAGTAGTAGTAGTAGTAGTAGTGGTAGTACTAGCACGATCCTTGTTTGCGGATTATTGTTTTGGTATTAGTACTCGGCGTCGCAGTAAAGATTCGACTGGTTCGTCAATCAGTCTGATTAATGTTGGCATGAAAAAAGATTCGTCGCAGTATTTATACTAGTAGTCGTAAGTATAAGCGTTGGTATCAATATCATTGTTCCTAGTTTTAGTGTTACTGGTAGTGTGACTCGTATAGGTAGTATTAATGCTAATAGTAATATTAATGTTCCGATTGTTATTCGTACAAGTCTTATCGATAGGATTAGCACTCGTCGGCTTAATCCAGTCTTCTTATTATTATGGGTATTCGCATTGATATGTGTTTTGTTAGTCGTCTCATTCTTGATTTTAGTAGTAGTCTTATTATTATTTCTCCCCCACGGTTCCCCAAAGGGTCTCCACAACTGCTGGGGGAACATCTAGTCCGATAGCTTTGCCGAGCCATGAACGCAACGTTCCGCCACATAGGCGCTTCCAAAAAGACAAGGCGGCGGTGATTCGCCGTAGGCGTCTTCGATACAAGGCTCCGCAAGATTCCAACGATTTGCTGTCGAAGGAGTGGGTGGAAAGCACCTCAGCACTCAGAGATAGAACATGGCAGCGTCGCACGCCGATGGAGATATGCAAGGCCGTGTGTTGCTAGTCGCCTGACGGAGGGGCCCCCGAACCCTCACCCTCAACAAAACAATTCAAGAAGGGGGGGGCATGTCATGGCTTGCGACGAACCCGCCTCCCTGGGAAGCACACCAAGGACCAAGTGGACGATATCGTCGTCGTCGTCGTCGTCGTCGTCGTCCGCCAGGGCTGGACCCCCCCCCACAGGGCTACCCGACACCCGACACTCCAGCTTGAGCGCCGCACCTGCCCGACCGGCACGTCAGGGTGGCCCGTCCGCCCGACGCGCGCATCAGGGCCCGCCCGCCCGACCCGCCGGTATGCTTGCAAGCCCGCATGCCAGCCAGCGGTAACACCCCGTCCGCCCGTCCCCTTGGGGGGCATCTCCCCGCCCGGCACGCCCAGCAAGTTCTGCCCGCAAGACTCGCCCGTCCGTCCAGGGTGTCCAGCCAGGCGCTCGCCCCAGCCATCCGGGGCCCTCAACATCAACAGAAAACTGGCGGCAGTGGCCAAAGCAAAGGCAGAAGTTTGGGACGACGCCGAGATGGCCACCGTCACCTGCTGCTGCTCCTCATCTGTCCGGCAGCGCCGTGCCGTCGCCGTCGCCGTCTTCGTCGTCGTCGTTGTCCCCCGCTTCGTCGACGTCGTCGTCGTCGCCGTCGCCGTCCTCGTCGTCGTCGTCGTCGCCGTCGTAGTCGTCGTCACCGCCGTCGTCTTCGTCGTCGTCGCCGCCGTCTTCGTCGTTGTTGTCGTCGCCGTCGCCGTCGCCGTCGCCGTCGCCGTCGCCGTCGCCGTCGCCGTCGCCGTCGCCGTCGCCGTCGCCGTCGCCGTCGTCGTCGCCGTCGCCGCCGTCGTCGCCGCCGGCGCCGCCGTCCCTGGTCGCCCGCATCGACTCTGCAGTCTTCTCGCCGGCGCCCCTGCCGCACCCTCGCAGCGTCGCGCCTCCGGCGACCAGAACTCGGCGAAGACCTGCCGCACGTCCACGGGGTCGCCCCAGCTGTTGACCAGCGCCAGGGTGGCTTGGCAGGGGGCCGGGGGAAAGCAGAGCCCGCCTGCCGTCTCCTCCTCCCCCCCCCGCGAGCCGAGGCACGTCCGCACGAGGCCACCCACTGAACACCAGGATCAAGGCGAGGGCAGAGACCCACCGTCGCCCCCTCGGCCCCCCGCTGTCCCAGACAGTTCCTCCTGGTTCCTCGGCGGAGGGGCAACGACAGGGAGGGACTGGCACGGGGGGGTATGCATCGACCTGGAGTCGGCGATGCATCGCCGATGGATCGGCGATAGGACCCCGAGAGCGAATCTGCACCTTCCTGGGCGGGGTGGGGCTATCGGGCCCCAATCGGCGGTCAGTGGGCGATTAGGAGTCGATGCATCCCCCATAGGCCTATCCCCCCCTATCGTTGTCCTGAAACGGCCGCCTCCTCGTGCCCCTTTGTCCTGTGACCACGTGTGCTCCGCCGGCGCAGCGATCCAGCTCCCAGAGGCCACGCTGCGCGCGGGAGCGAGGGAGGATGAAGGGGAACTGGGACACACAAATAAATACACACTAATAATCAGATGCCCTATATTTTCCCATATTTTCTGGGTTGTTGTCTTCCCCCCCACTTCCCATAGTTTCCCATATTTTCTGGGGAATCGACGATTAATTGTGTCTGTGTGTTTTCCCCTCCTGAGAGGAGAGGACGAGGCGCAGCCCGCCCTGGACTGGCCTCTGCAGAGGGTGCGGGGCGCGGTCTGCAAAGAGTGCGTCGGGGATCTGCTGTACGACGACGCCGGGACGAGGATCAATGCTGGCGAGGACAAATCGGGAATCTCTGAGATCTGGCGGCTCTGGAGGGTGTCTCGGGCGCCGTGGCCGTCTCAGAGCGTCCTGGAACGCTCTGACAGAATTTCGGAACACTCTGGAACGGATTTATCCTCGTCCTAGCCTCGTCCGATACTGATCCGGGTCAATGCAAACTCGGTCAGTTAGGCCGTGCAGGATCCTGCAAAATCCTGCAAGATCCTGCACGCTGACCCAGGATCCGGAACTCCAGGCAAGCCCTCGACAGTATCATACCAGGGACCTTTGGTATGACACTGTTGCGGGCTGCTTCGGGAGGAGGAGGAGGAGGAGGAGGAGGAGTTCTCATGGAGCCCGCTTGGGCCTTTTCGAGCCTCTCGGTGCCCTCTTGGGGCCCCAATTCAAGCATTTTCGACGCGCCGAATGATCGACGCGGCTTGCGCCTCTGCCTCATCTGGTTTCCTGGCACTTTTTTTCTGGATTGGGCAAGGACTTTTGACAGATTTAAACACGACGAATGTTTTTTCCAAATTCAGACACGACGAAAAAAAATCAAGCACGACGAATGGTTTACCGCACTACGCCGATTTGGAATTCCAGAAGGAATGGCCAGTTTCATAGCAGGTATATATTCTGAGCGCTTCTTCATCCTAAAAAGACGAAGCAGGCAATTCAACAACAAGAAGACAATGAGCTGGGATCGCTCAGGGCTGCCCGTTGTCCCTATATTCATTTACAATGATTCAATCGGTGATGTTCTTCGACGTCGACAACCACATGGGAGAATTGACGGCAACTATCCAAGAACCATCTTTTCATTGTGGCCACGGACCTTTCGTACGCAGTCGACACAGTATTGGCGAGCAGCAGTACGCACAAACTACAATCACTTCTGAACACTGTTATCGAAGAAGGGGCTGCCTACGGGTTAGAACTGAATTGGGACAAGACACTTGTTACGCAAATCAAGCACAACGGGTGTATGCTTGATCCGTCTGGGAACCTTCTCAAAACAGTGGAACCGACAAGTTACCTCAGAGGTTTAATCAGTGCAGACGTGTCCGCAAAAGCAGAACTTACTAGACGAGTCGGGGAAGCAAAAAAAGTATAAAGCGATACAAAGATGTTGGTCGCATGCGAACATACCCAGGAAAAGGAAGCTGGAACTTTCCAGTGCGATCGTGCTGCCAAGGCTTCTCTATAACATCGAATATGTATTTGTGGCAAGCCAACAAACGTCGTTTGGACGGTTTCCACGCCCGATGTCTGAGAAAAATCATGTCCATCCCATCTTCGTTCATCTCGAGAGTTTCCAATGCGGAAGTCTTGCAAAAAGCATCCCAGCCCCCTCTGAGCGCAGTTTTGCTTGATCGGTAAACCAAGCTGTACAATAACGTTTGCGCCTTGTCCTCTGACCATTTACTTAGGATTCTAACGTGCATGCCAGACTCGCGTGAACACAGAAACTGGGAATTCAACCACAGGCCTGGGAGGCCCAAACAACAATGGGCTCGTTGCGTGCGCGATTGCATGGAGGATATGTGGCTCGTATTTCGCCGCCCCGCCTGCCCTCCTCCCTTCCTCCGCCTCGTCCTCCCCCTCCCCTCTTCCTCCCCCCCTGTGCCGGCACGCATTTGGCGTGCCTTGTGTTCTCCTTAGTGCGCATTTGGCGCGTCTGCCTCCATGCATTCTTACGCGCACTTGGCGTGTGTTGACCACGCGTCCCCATGCAAAACTGCAAACAGTTTTGCGTGCCGATGCGCCGTGTAGGCGCCTGGCTTCTGTCTGTCTGTGTTCAAGCATTTTCGGACTCTCAGAAAGACCAGAGAGAGCTCCAAGAAGCCTCTAAGAGAGCCAGGAGAGAGCTCCAAGAGGGTTCCCTGAAGGTACCCGACAGTATCAGACCAAGGCACGATGGCGGGATGGGCCGTGGGCCACCAAATCCAAAAGGGCCTGAAATCACCCGAACGCCCCAAGAGAGCCCCCAAAGGGCTCCCACAGAATTCTCCAAGAGACGACCAGGCTCGACACATTGAAAAATACGGGAAGGAGGACGCAGGGGCGGCCGGACGGAGGAAACATAAGGGAAGGGGAGACGGGGAAGTGCCCCAGTCCCCCTCCCCTCCCCCTCCCCCTCCCCCTCCTCCTCCTCCTCCTCCTCCTCCTCCTCCTCCTCCTCCTCCTCCTCCTCATCCTCCTCCTCATCCTCATCCTCATCCTCATCTTCATCTTCATCCTCATCCTCATCCTCATCCTCATCCTCCTCTTCCTCTTCCTCCGCCTCCTTCTCCTCCTCCTCATCCTCCTCCTCCTTCTCATCCTCATCGTCTTCCTTTTCCTCTCCTTATTTCTCTTCCTCTCCCTC